CCCCCCCACCTTTTCGCTACATGCACACTCAAGAAAGTATGATTATTTTATCCGAGGTTAAAATTAAAAATTCAATTAATTTTCAATTTCATACTCTACGAGATTCATAAATTCATTAATTTTTGTAAATAAAAATTAACTTAAAGGTAGCTTTAATTTATAAATTTAATTTTTTATTGATTATTGCATACAAAACTGAACTGTTTTCAGAAATTTAAATGCTGTAGCTGATTTTTAAACATTAATATGTAAGCATTATAATTTTGCGTGTTTTTTAAAACATTAATATGCGATTTTAATAAATCAGTTTGCAGGAATTCATAAAAGACCTATAGCACTTACACCCAACTCTATCGTTCTTTTTAACGCCGAGACTTCGTAATGCCGAAGCATACAATTTCACTTCTTCAAACATTTCGGCGAAAGTGACTGTTTCTTCATTTCCATCTTCATCTAGAAGAACAAATAAGTAACGTCTGTAAATTTACGTACCATAAAATGAGTATCGGTATTTTGATTAGAAAAGAATATCTGCAATTATTTACAAAATTATCAAACAAGAAGCTGCTTTATTTTAACAACTAGGAGGCACCACTTGCAAACCTCAGTCATAGTTGGGGTACCTTATGCAGGGGCACCGCATTCATCTTTTATTTTATTTTCATTCCATACATTACAAAAAAAAATTATCTTTTAATCTATAAATCATATAATTATTATAATTTTATGTAAGAAAATTTAGTTCATACGTTAATCGTTATAAAATGAAGGATTACTTGGATTTGAAAAATCCAAGTAATTAATCCTAGTAAAATTAACTGTGCTTAAGAAAAAAAAACAACTTAAATTTAGGAATATAGAATGTGTTACAGAATAAGAAGTAATAAATAAGAAGCAATTTTACTCCTTAACAATCTATAACGATAACCATGCAGTGTTTAGCAAGCCTTATAGTTTATAGCGATGACCGTTTATTGTTTCAAATTCCAAATTGTTTTTATCTCTTGAGATATTTATATTTAAAAAAATTTTGATATAATTTTATAATTTATATCTGGCTACACCCGATATCTTCCTCTTACGTCTTTTATTCCCTTTATCGATTTTTTTGTTACTTTTGACATAAAGTCAGTAACGAGCTAGTGAAATAAAGATCTCGAGTCAGATAAATATTTCAAAACAGTCTATAAATAAACATTATTTAGGGCAAAAAAATTAAACAAATACACGGAAAAAGCACTTAAGATTGTAATAACATTAAAATATTTTTCGAAAAAAGCAACAAAAAAGTTTATAATTGAATTTGATTGAATGTAGGGTTTAGTGGCACAAAGTCCAAATGAGGACATGCTATGCCAGACAGTACGGTAAAGTTTATAATTGAAAATGGTCTTTTCTGTTCTATATTTCAGCTGGAAGAAGATGGATAAAAGTATTTTTTTCTACTTTAAGTTTGACATTTGATTTGTCTCGCATGAAGAATCGAATTTCAAATGGTTTTCATTCCATTGAACCTTCGTAACCTCAAGTTTCTACGTCTTGTAGGCTTTACACTGCAAAACGAAATGTAACGTTAGAAAAAAGAGAGAAAAAAGTGAGAAAAATTTACAAAGGAAGTCTGAAATTTCAATAACTTTTATAAAAATTAAAATTAAAACAAAACTTGAAGTTTAAAAATAATTATGTTAGGTTTATAAGCAAACATAGACCTTTTGAAATTTCAACTCTGTAGTTGAATTCTTGCAACCAGTTCGAAGTTTTGTCTACCCCCCCCCCACCCAATTTCAAGGGTCATGATTCCAAATATGTAAAAAAAAATTATGTTTATTTAGAGAAAATGCGTTTTTGTGTCTGATTTCGTAACTCAATTAATAGTTAGCTGTAATTTAGCATATTTGAGGTCCCCCCCAGGAACCATTACGATTGACACTTAATTCGTGAAAATCCGATCATTAGAACGAAAGTTATTCAGGGTGATATCCTTTTTTTTTGCAGACTGTGCACTATGAAAGATTTTAGTGTATCTTAGCACCAAAAAATGGAAGTAAGTACCTTAAGCCAAAGTGATCGTTTGCAGAAACCTCGTTGATAAATTCACTACAACAAGAAATGTTTTTTTACACTACTTGGTGCAAAATAGCTGCCAATATTTTTCATAATAAGTAATACTCTAATTTATTATTACAGTAAGATACACATAAGTGTCGGTAACATTCTTTTTAGGATACACTATAAAGTAAGATTTGTTAATTTAGAATGTTTATATACACTGATTCTTAGAAGAAAGCTGCTGTGTTATGTAAGCATATGTTAATCACAGAGAGGATAAAACTAAATTCGACTTAACAAAACCGAAGCAGAAAGAAATTATACACTATAAAAATATAAATACACTATAATTTATTATTTCAGAGTTTTAAAAATTAAAATATAATTAACATTATTACTACACTAAAAACATACATGTTTTAATGAAGAACTTCTGTTTTCGGAGATGTATAAAAGTGTAGAAGACAACAAACGCGAATTCGTATTGGATTGTAGAAAATTCACTTGGCGACATCCAAAGTGCGCCAACATAAGTGTTGCCGGAAACGAAAATAATTCAAGTATGGTGTAAATGCGCGAGAGATTTTTCCAAGGGTTTTCCACTTTAAGTGTTTAGATTTAAATTACTCCCTTTAAAATGTATATTCTCTTAAAAAAAGGTAGTTGCCACCATTTTTGGTGTTGGGATGAACTAAAGTTTTTCACAATGCGTTTAGTGATATTTTTTATTTACCTTTTCACTGCTATTGCTTTTTTATTCATTTATTCCTTTTATGTGTGTTTGTTTATTGACATATTTTGCAAGCACATTAGAATCAATTTAATAGCCTTTTGCAAGAGCATTTCATTTAACAAAGAAGTACACATTTAGCAATATATTTGCACTAAGTTTTACTAAGATTTATAATTTTGTCAATTTAATATAAGATTTTGCTCCATATCTTCAGATCGGTACTTAAAAATGTACTTGCAACTAAAATATAAAATTGTTACAAAAACATTTTTAAATATAAAACTATTCAAAATACCTTTTCAGTACCGAACTGCAGTTATCGTGCAAAAAAATGTATGAAATTGACAAAAAGAATTTTTTTAGGGAATATATTTTAATAAGTGTGAACATATTTTTATTTTATTTTATAACCGTCGTTGAACAGCCGAACCAATTTTTGCGCTTACGACTATTAATGTTCAACTCCGCAGTCCTGTAATTTTGAACCCAATCCAGAAGACAAAAAAAATTCCTGGACGAAGTATTTGTAGACATCTGTCTTCGTGGAGGACTTTTTGCTGGAACTAACCCTCATTTTCGTTACACGGAGAATAAAACCACAAAAACTTCCCATGGTTCCCAAGTGGACTAACCCAAGATCCGTCTACCACTGAGGATATTTCACGTTAGCACTGCGGTGGCTCGAATTAACTATTGAATGTAATCATTTTTGTACACTTTTTCTCAACTTCAAGATTATAAGTCTTATATTTTTTACGCAGTAAAGCAATATGTAATGTTAAATTGAACACCCAAAGCAGTGGCGGCGGCAATTATGATTTTTTAATATAGAGAAAAAATTAAAACACTGTTTCAAAACAATAATATTTTTTCCAAAATTTTACTTTTAAAAAGGAAAATCTTGATCTTTTAATCTTGTTGCACCAATTTCTTTTTTGTTTATTTATTCAAATAATGGGAAATTGTTCCTGATATTCATTATATATAAACATGAAGGATGTAAATAGTTTACAAGCGCTGTTATAAACGATTTCTTAAAGCAAACACGCCATTGAAGAAGATGAATGACAGCTAGGATATCGTAGAACTCTTATTTTCCGGGAATAAGCTAATTTCTTTGAGGAAAGATGGATTTTTACAATTCAACATACGTAAGGAATGTTTTAATGACATAAAACTTAAAAATGAAGTTAGCTATTTCTTTGAAATAGTTTGAAAACTATGCATTGTGTCGAATTCTAGTAGAATAATAGTTACCAGCACACACAAGAGCGACTCTACTGTCTCTTATTCGGAGAATATTCTCGGCATAGTTGAATCTCGCTCCACTGAACCAATCATTATCCAAGAAGCCCTTTCCAGTTTTGACCAAAACCTATGAAGAAAAAATCCATTTTTGTAATGCTATATAAATGTCATTTCATCTTAAAAAATCTTGTTTTTCCAAATGAAGTAGATCACACCTAATTTTATATATTTATTTATTAACTTATTTTTATTATTTTTTGTTATTTTATTTTATTCTATAACCGACGTTGAACAGCCGACCCAATTTTTGGGTTTACGTCTACTAATGTTCAACTCCGTAGCCTTGTAATTTTGAACCCAATTCAGAAGATAGGGGAGCTCCTAGATCAAGTATTGGGATAATTTTACGTTCGAGGAGGACTTTTTTTGATGGACCTAACCCGCATTTGCGTTACATGGAGAGGAAGACCATGAGAACCTCCCACGGTTAGCTTGACGGCAAGGGGACTCTAACCCATGATCCGTCTACCACTGAGGATATTTCACGTCAGCACTGTGGTCGGTGCAAGCCAGATGCGGAATTCGTATCGACTAGGATTCGAACCCGGTTCGCCGCATTGGAAGGCGAACGCTCTATCCCCTGAGCCATTCTTGGCTCTTTTGTTGTCATTGTTCATAATGTTATCTTATATCGAATTTTTTTTTCAATAACGTCAGGTACTGAACTTTTGTTCTTCACCTCGGAAGATGACGGAAGTGTTGCTCATTTAATGTTACCCAGTGGGCACCTGTGTACCTAAGTCACCGTGGCGAGCAACATTACCCACGCCACACTGCAACAAATGCCCGTTCATAGGGTGGGCCACTTTCACACATCTCACACAACAGAGGACGACTGATAGAGAGAAACATCCATGTCCAGAGCGGGATTCGAACCCGCAGCCATTGGCTTCGCAGTTAGGCACGCTAACAGCTGGGCCACCTGGCCGGTCCTTATGTCGAAATAAAATAGTTTATCTTTGTGGAGTTTTCCTTTTAATGATAGATTGTAGTTAGAAAAATAATAATTGTTGTTAAAAAAATAATAATTGCTATAACTTCCTTTCTTACGGAGTACCAGTTTTGGTCATTTAGTTCATAAAAATAGTAACTGTTGTTACTTACAATAGAGAATCAATCAGTTTTGGCAATTGTATTTCAAAAAGTAAATAAGCATAGAGTATTTCTCTCAAAAAAGAAGATTTTAGATTGTTATGGTTCGAATAAGTCAGAATTCAGATTTATAGTTATGAGAAGAGACTACATAGCAACGGTATTTACCTTCGTAAACGCAATGCAAATGTTTTTCAATTACAGCGATAATATTTAATTCGCTTCTGAACGTCGCCGTCGTTCAAGATTAGGTTATGATTTCAAGTAGTAGTTCATTTACGTCGCTCAAGAGCTTTGCAATGGGCTATTGGCGATGGTCTGGGAAACATCCCTGAGGATGATCCGAGGACATGCCATCACAATTTTGATCCACTGCAGAGGGGAAGGCACCCCGGCTTCGGTAGCCAGACTACCTGAACGTTATGATGACGTTACGAATTCAAAAAAATGCTCTAGGGTAACTATTAAATTATGTTTTTTGTAACAATATACATTATATACACTGCTGGACAATTGCTAAGGACGGATAACACTATCATCCATAGCAACCACATAATGAAAGGAAGCAAAATGTGGAAAATTAGAATAAGTGTGGGATATAGTAAGAAGAGGTATGCGTATGCAAATTTTTTTTCAACGTCTGTTCATCACATGATAGCGCTGATAAGAGCTTTAAAGGTTTTGACGCGTGTGGAGAGTTGTTGTTTCAAGTCAAAGTTTTACAGGAAAGATTTAGTTGACGAACTTGAAATTTTCGGCATGTCTTCCCGATATCACTTGAATGATTTTAAGCGTGGCCGAATTATTGGAAAGATCGAAGAAGGGCGAAAAATAACAGATGTTGCCAGGGAGTTCGACATCGCTCACAGCGTTGTTTCACGGCTGTGGAAATCATTTAAAACTACTGGAATGTGTAGTAGGCGGCACGGGGGAGGTCGTGTTAGAAGTACGACGCCTGCAGAAGACAGATACATCGTCCTATCAGCAAAAAGGAACAGGCGCACCACAGCTCAGCAGGTGGCAAATCAGTTTCTTGCTGCCACAGGAAAGCAGATCTCCCGAAAAACTGTTGCCAGACGTTTGAGGGGAGGAGGACTATACGCCCGCAGACCTGTTGTGTGTGTCCCATTGACCAGACAGCACCGTACTGCCCGTTTGCAATGGTGTCGTGAGCATCACAATTGGACTGAACAGGACTGGGCATGCGTACTATTCTCAGATGAGAGTAGGTTCAGTCTGTCATCGGATTGTAGACGCCAACTGATCTGGCGCGAGAGTGGTACTGGTTATCGTCCAGAAAATATCCAGGAAAGGGACCGATATCCGACATGCAGTGTCATGGTGTGGGCCGGCATCATGATCAATGGCCGCACGCGCCTACATGTGGTTGCGAATGGGACTATGACGGGCCAACGATACATTGATGAAGTTCTACTTCCTCATGTTCGTCTTTTCCGTGGTGCTGTCGGTGATAAATTTGTTTTTATGGACGACAACGCAACATGTCATCGAACACTCGCTGTTCAGGATTGTCTAGACAGCGAGGGTATTCAACGCCTCGTATGGCCATCACGTTCTCCAGATCTAAACCCCTTTGAAAATGTTTGGGATGCTTTGGGGAGGCAACTTGCTGGTCGAAACTATCCTACGACAAACAAGAACAACCTCATACGTGCACTGACAGAGGAATGGGAAAAACTGCCTCATCAGCTGCTAGATAATATTGTACAAAGTGTGATACGACGTGTAGAATGTTGCATCACACTCCACTGTGGACATACCCCGTAATGACACCTTTCTTCAAGTTGCCTGCTGACATTTAGATCCATTGTTCCATTTTTCCGTACGCAGCATCAAATGAACATTTTTTTTCTTTCAGATGTTTTATAGCTTTTGTACTTTCCAGAACAATGAACATTCTTTATTCTAATGTCTGAACAGTGTGGCAACTATATTTTATCCTACTAGGCCTCATGTCCCGCTTAATGTTACTCTACATTGCAATTTGTGATCCGTCCGTAGCAATTGTCCAGCAGTGTAATATTAAATACAGTATCATCGGATTTAGAATTGAGCTACCAACTGTCTAAAACGCCTCATTCGAGTATCATAAGTATGAGTCACATCAGTGCATGGGAGCTTGCTAAACCAAGACATAAAAATATAACCGGTGCAAAAATGGTATTAGCTGAACTCTGAGCTTTACACCTCATATAAAAAGTTTCATTTCATGTGTATTGTGTGAAAATGATATTATAAAATATACCATATGGAATGTATTACTTTTAAATGGACATTATGATAAAAGCAGGCAGAAATAAAATAGATTAATTTTAAGAATTTAACTGTGGCCATCTCCATTGTAATATTCATAATAAAATAAGTAGAGTCTTTTCATAAATAAGGTAATCCGTATATGCCTTTTAATAAAGATTCTTCTAATTTTTTGATAAAAAAATATAGTGCTTAAGAATTTCTATCACTGACAAAACTACAAAACACAGAATATTCAGTGTTTGGCCACTAGTGAACGTATCAATAAGCCGAAACTATATGTCTTTTTATATGATATTGCGTTGAATTGAACAACTTGTTCCATCCAAATTGATCCTAGCATATCGCGTTATCTGTTTAAGTATTATAATATGCTCCAATCTTAGAATCATATTAAAGTTGTAGTATATTTGAAAATTATTATTGTTCAAACTTTCTAACGATGTAGGCATTCAATAATACTATAATGAGAAATTCGGCATATTTACCTGATCGTAAGATTTTGATCCAATAACTCCAAAATAATGCCATATTTCTTCCCAACAGTCTATGTAGTTATCTACTGACCACTTGTGGAACTCCCAATATGAATCTGCACAAAAATATTTATAATTAATATACGCATGCAATTAAATAAATTTGGTGACATTATGAATATGAATGTCTTAAATTCAACATTTCTTAACGTTTATACACTTTTCGAAAAATGTATTCAATCTTGAACCAAAATATAAGTTACTAATAACAAGAATACAAAGGATTGTTATATGTTGTCCCTTCTGTCAACTTCGATATAAGCCTCTCTTCCATTACCGCAGAAATTAGGGTTTCGGTAGCAATGCCTATAGAATAAATGCACTTGTTAAATTGACTCAATTTAAAACTCTGATATATAACTGCAAAATTATTTGGATGTTTTTATATGCAATGAAGTGCTAAAAAAGATCCTTTTTAAAAAAGCCTATTATTGATATAAAAAAAGACTTTTTATAAAAAGCCCATTTTTTTAAGAGCCTCCAACGAATTGAAACAAAAGAAATCAAAACTTTTATCAATATTTGATAAACTTTATACAACCTCTTAATACACAGGGTCTGCGCTGAGAACTTCAAATTGCTCGACAGTAAATCAGCCAAATATCAAAAGTTTTAGCCAAATTTCAGAAGTCTTAGACAAAGGCAAATCTTAAATTTTTATGATTAATTTTTTCCCATAGAAATGTTTAAGTCAAAATACAAATTTACTATAAATTGAACTATTTTAAAAATGCAAATTCAAATCAAGAGTCATTTTACAGTTGGGGAGGAGTAAATGAGCAATAAAAAATTTAGATGTTTTATCGTCTTTGAAGAAAAGGAATAAGAATAGGTTATGGTTAATTTTTGATAACTTCTTAGACTAGAGTAGTAGCATAAGTAGCATAATTTGATGTTTTGATACATTTTGACTATCTTTTAAATGAATATATTTCATTTTAAATAAAAAGTTTCATTATTTAAGTCTTTTATTTTTTTAAAAAAAGAATTTTTACCTTCTCTTATCTTTCATTCATTATCATTCGGAAGAAAATAATCGCTGGAAAACGAAATTTGGATATGAGAATTGGAAGCTGGAACGTACTTTCTCTCTATGGAGTCAAGGCATAGTATTTGCAGTTAGAACAGGTGGAACAATAAACCCACTGGAACAAGAAAGCGGGCAAGGCCGCGATTGAAATGGGCTGACTCTGTGGGGTCTGATTTCCTTGCAATTAATGAAAAGAATTGGATATCAAAGATAAATCGGAAGTCATTATGGAGAAATCTTCAGAGGAAGGCATTGGTCCACATTGGGCTGTCTGGCTAAATATGATGATGATGGTAGAAGATAAGTTATTTAAATAATTTAATTCTGTTTTATAGGTTTTTATACTACTCAGAGATTTTTAAACTGAATTTGGGTGAGTGGGGGGAATTAACACGTTCATTGCCAGCCGTGAGCATATACTAGTTATACTATAACTATTCCTAAAAAGTGGTAATCTACAAAGATAAAATCAAAGTTAAATTTCCTTATTTTGGCAGTCGTTTTAATTTTCAAATTTTACTATAAGTTTATCTTAATATGTTAATGTCATGAAAACATATTTTCCGGAAAAGCAGTTACATGCATCTAGATATCCATCTTATATCCACTTAATCTGTTTTATTGTCACAAGCTTTTCGTCGCATGATAGCGCGTGATACGGCAACAAATGTGTTAATCTGCATTTTTCTTTTTTTTTTTTGATGATTGCATAATTTCTCTTGTTGCTTACATTATGTGGACCTAATATAACTCTGATTGGGTATTTGCACTTCAAGAAGATCATGGATACCTATACACGTGACATATCACGACAGCACCAGCTGATCGTTTATAAGCAAAATAGCGTATTAAAGTTAAGTTTTTACACCAAATTAGAATGTTATTTAATGTAAAGTTAAATACAACGACGTATCGAAGATCGAATTTGTTGAAGTATAATTTTTACTAGTTTACGTTTTTTTTCTTAACTTACTCTTGTTATTTATTGTAACCGTGATTTATTTTTGTTTCGTGAATATAGAAGAATATAGAACGTATCACTTAAGAGAATTGATACTTGACGGGCTTGGATTACTCGAAATGGAATGGTAAGACCAGTTGCTAACTTCAACAAATGCCACGTTTCAACAACCAATCAGGATTGACATGTTGACACTACGTCACTTGTAGATATCCCTTTAGTTATGTGACATATCTAAAGGAAATTACTGCAATTGAATAAAAGATATAAGATTTGTTGAGAAAAATCACCAAAAACAATTTGTTTCGCCAAATTTACTATTTTATCACATTTGACGAAATGGTGAACGCTTAGCTCACACCCTGATACATACTGAATTGTTAGATTTTTACTGAAGGTCTAAATATAATAATTCAGTATGTTCATTTATTCAGTATGCATTGCTACTCATTTTTAAATAATTGATAGTATTAAGTATAGAGTTTGATGGCAAGTGTGAATCAAGGGGCCCATTTCTTTTTTCTTACTAATTATTTTTCTTTTAAAATTAAAGTAGAAAATTTCAAATTGAAGATTTATGTGTATCAAGCAGCGCTACTTTTTCCCAAATATTTTATATTTGCAATGTATTGAGGACACTCGAACAAATTTTTATAAAGTTACGATTAGTTATGACTATAACTAATAGTTTCTTTTCTTAAATTCATGCTAATTGGATTTTTTAAAAATCAGTCGGAAAAACGCATCTATCATAAAAGATAAAAATAATACTCTGCCTTCAAACTTTTTACACTTCTAAAGCTTTAAAAAAATATACTTTATTTTTCAGAATTGCACAAAAACTATCGTAGATTCATTTGTATTTCAAATAATTTCCAAAAATGTAACTGAACAAATTTTAAGAAAAATCTTAGTTTGTATGCACGGTTTATGGTTAGATGGTTTGAATGCATAGTTTAATTGCACAAGAGTCAGATGCGGCTTTGCTGTACCCAAGGTATAAATATATACAATTAGTCGTATTGACAATTAGACGGGTAAACCAGAATTCCCCGCAAACCGTTACGATATGAACTGAAAAATTGGGAAATGAATGGTTTAAATATCATATATTTTGCTTTTATAAACCAGAATTATGTTTTTTCATTTATTTTTACCAGAAATGTCTTTCACTAAGGTAAATGTATCAGAATGTTTTTCTCCGTGCCCAATATTAGACAGCAATGTTGTATAAATGTGGAAAATTGCTTTCTGGTACTAATTTCCAAAAATGTAATTTGAGTCGTGTTTGAATTTTTGCAAAGTTCCTGAAAACAACATAGTTTTTTGCAAGTTTTCAATAAGTCTTAGCGAAATGCCGTCGTATCACATTGTGGCACGCATGCGAGGTGGTATTATTATAAATTGCGACTTTCAATACCATACAACGAGACACTCTTTATAATCTACGTTCTGATAGTTTAAAATTTTAACAAGGTGTTTGAAAGTACGCATTAAAAGCGGTATTTAGAGAACACTCTGTACTTTGAATAAAAAGGTATTTTCGATCTCGAAAAGTACAGTCTCACAGAAAAAGAAATGGAGCGTGGAGTCCCTCCACGCGGAAGAAGTTAACTTCGCAACCTGCGACGCTAATTATAGAAGAATCAGCAGTCGTAGAA